CCAAAAGATACGTGCAAAAAGGCCGTTTTAGTCTAAAACGGCCGATTCGACTTGATTTGCACAATGTTGCGGAAAGATCTAACTGCAGGGTTCGTACAGAGTCTTTAATTCTTGAAAAAATCTTGAAATTTGCCTTACAATTTTCCAGATTTGAAACAAGTCTGGAAAATGGAGATAACGTCTGCAAAAATGGTAAAAAGTCTGGAGGGTTTTTGTTTTAAGTGAAATTTGTTTCGCTTTGGTCAAATTTTGCTCAATCTCACCCGTACGTTTGCAGCGCATCATGAAAAAGGCTTTGTTGATGCTTCAGTTTTTTAAGGTTCTCCGGCTATTTAGCATCTATTTAATAATCTTTAGTTCGGGAAAAGAAATTATTGTGTTGGAAAAGATTCTGGAAAAAGTCTTGAATTTTGGATCCAAAAATCTGTACGAGCTCTGTAACTGGATTTGCTAAAACCTACAGGAAACTGAAACTACATTTGCTGCTATTTGACCAGTGGCTAAAACGTGAGTCTTGGGGTCTGACAAGTCCGACAAGCTGACAGGCCAAGAAAAAGGACAAGAAAAGTAGAGATAGTAAGAAGAAAACGATTGCTCTCTAAGTTTTTCGATTGTCTACTTTGGAGAAATCTGATTGGGCGCAAGGACTTTTTCGCAGCAACATTTTTAAAAATACTTCTTGTCTACACTGTTACTGACCACAGAAATGATGCACAATGTTTACAACTCATGAGACGCAGGTAAAAAACTCTAACGTATATTATGATCTATAAGAGTAGAGACAATAGAAAATCGTTCTTATTTAGTTCTTTTTTTTTTGGCGGCCTAAAGTAATAAAAGAGCCTCTCTGTGGATACCGGCGGACGTCGTTGTCGTCGCAGGTTTTGTATCAAATCGTCGGATTTTCAACGAAATCGTAGCATGTCAAGAATTTTTTGGCGAGGTAATGCCACAAGCGAGCTCAGTGCAACCACAACGATAACTAACGTTGCCACACTTGATCTGAATGGTATCATCGCTTAAATCTGGAAGATCGTCGTTCCAATCAATAGCGATCGTCGGAATTACCTACAGAGAGTCTCATAAAACGTCCATTGACGGCGAAGTGCCTTGGAAATCGCGCAGGCAAACAAAAACAAATTCCGTCACTTCCATGGCTAGGTCTGTACTATTATAGCCCGTTGCTCTCCGCCAATGAGCTTGTAGGAAATCACTCAGTTACTTTAAGACTATCCACTAAATGTACAAGATCAAAAGGCTACGAGTTGTCCCTTATTCAGTTCTGCTCGCTTGGGTATTTTACCCCAAAGAAAAATAAGCGACCAGTAGTAGCCTATAAGATGTTGGATTGCTGCCAATCTGATATTGAAGATTATAATATGCTCTTTCTCCGTTCACTTGTGCCATATATTTTGTGCTTCCTTATATTTGTTGATATATTTTCATCGTGAGCTGAATAAAATAAATATTAACATAACGTACATAACAATATACTCCCTATAGAGGCCAAAAATCATCATTAAAAAAGGGTCAATTTTGTCAGTTTTAGCAAAAAGACATTCTAAGAATGCTTGATCACGCACTTGCGCTAGCATAGACATTATTTTCTGTTTGTCCAAAATCAAGCGCAGTCTTTTGAATGGTTTGCGCTAATTGCAACATTTGACATTTGTCATGGTTTGTTAGGAGATTTGACGCCCATTAGATGCCTTCAGTACTGAAATTGAAAGAATCTTGCCCTTGAAGTGTTCACATCTGACACTACAGAGAGACTGATCTCCATGAAACCAGCTGTGTCTGTATTTCTAGCAGATCATGGCAACAGACCAATCAAAATTACCAGGCAGTTTAAAGATGGGAACAATTTCAAGGTCCGATACCCGGGGGGGAGGGGGGGTACTTTGGGAATTTCTGGGTGGGGATGTGCTGCTTGGACCCTGGAACCCTTAACCTATACCACAGCTAGTTCAGCTGAATTTTGCTACCCTATACTAGAGTAAACCCCCCAAATCCCCCTATCCTAGAGTAGCTGTTTCCCTAGTCTAGATAAAATCTTCAACCAACTGATCAGTTTCCTGAAAAACGATACCCTATTCTAGACCCAAACGCTCTGATTTATATACCCTATCCTAGAGTAAACTGCTTGAAAACCATACCCTTCACAGCAGCACATACCTATATAGCCCATATATGGCAGTACCCCCCCCCCACCCCCC